TCTGTATGGGTGTGTGTTTCCCTGCTTCAAGGGTTCACACTACAAAAGGCAGAAAACAGCAATGGCCTCAATCCTGGCAAACAGGCAATGGACAAAGCTCTCCACACTCCCATAGCTGCTTGCTGAGGTCCTCACGAAGCCTACCCTCCTACTGGGGTGCGCAAGGTACAAAACATGAGCAACCTGATATAACCAAGGCTAGCTAGCGCTGGCCTCCCTGGAGAACAAGGTACCAGGATGTGTGGGGTCCCGCAGCCCCTAGGCCACTGTTAGTGGAGTACATTAACAGTGAACTTGCACAAAGCCTTTGGTTGCCTTGATTCTACACCCTCCCAGCCATACTCAGGGTGGCATGTGAGCCCATAGCTACCTTCAAGAGCTGGGGGTGGGCAGTGCAGCTGGTGGGAAAGACGATGTGGTGCTGCTGGGTTATTTCTGTCATTTTTAGTCACGGTGGTGAGCGATTTGAAGTAAAGGCTTTACTTACGATCTTCAGCTTCATGGAGGATTCGAGAGGAAGGTGAGGCCATTTCCCACACGCCCCCTGTCCCCACACGTGCACAGCCCTCCCCCTTCCTAGCTCCCGGGTCCAGATTGGTACATGCATAACAGCTGACGAGCCGCGCTGCACCACATTGCCGCCCAGAGTCCATAGTGGTCAGCGTGCACTCTGGGTAGAGCACTCTGTGGGTTTGGACAAATGCACAGCGTGATCCTATACATTATGCTGACGAATCGTTTTTGCTTTGACTAGTTTAGTTGAATCAAGTAATTCTACACGTTCAGGGAACACATCTGGGTTAACTATATTCTTCTATTTGCTTCATTTGCTGCAACTGATTCTTCTGACATGGCTTTTAGATACACTTTATCTCATCGTTCAATTTTTTTCTCCTGGGATTTTTTTAGGTTATTTTTCCTTGCTAGTCTTCAGGCAATGAATATGTTACTAGAATTGCCTTTGATTTAGGAATGGATACCCCACCAGAAGTAAAGAGAGTCAAGAGTAAAATGCTGGGCTGGAAAGGTGGCTCAGTGGTAGAGTGCTTGCCTTGCATGCATGAGGCCCTGGGTTCCATTCCTCAGCACCACATAAGTAGAAAAAGGCAGAAGTGGTGCTGTGACTCAAGTTGTAGAGCGCTAGCCTTGAGCTGAAGAACTGAGGGATTGCACTCGGGCCCAGAGTTCAGACCCTACAACTGACAAAAAAAAAAAAAAATGCTCACCACACAGGAAGAATATCATCTCATTGTCATTAATCACATTTCGAGACTGTTTCTGTTATGTAAGGAAAAGGTAAAAAGCTCAAGGCTTGTTTTTCTGGTATTTACTGGGTTGGGGGGACTTCAGCCCAGGCATTGTCTCTCACCTTTCTTGCTCAAAGTTGGCACTTTACCACTTAGCCCAAAGCTCTACTTCTGGGATTTTGCTGCTGGCTAACTGAAAATTAGGGTTTCACAGACTTTCCTGCCCAAGGGTGGCTTTGAACTGTGATCCTCAGATCTCAACTCCTGCATAGCTAGGATTATAGATGTGAGCCACTGGCATCTGGTAATCTGGTGGGTTTTTTTTTTTTTAGCAGAAATCACTGTACAATAGCAGGGCATCACTTTGGTAGTGAGGGGTTTGGGGCTACTTCTTGGATGAGCCATAGCCACCATAGTATAGACATTTACAAATGATGATCAGACCAAGCATGGGGGCTTAAGCCTGTAATCATGGCTACTTAGAAGAGGGAGATGTGGTTATCTTGGTTCAAGTCCATCCTTGGTGAAAGAAATTTTTGAGACTTCTCAACCAATGGATGTGCCCAGCATTCCATGTCTTCTACCCCAGGCACAGGGGAAGCGCAGCGGCTGGGCAGAGAGGCAGACAAATGCCGCTCACACCCAGCGACACAGGGGCGTGGAGAAATAGATGCGTGGGTGTAAAGTGACACACTTCCCAGAAAAAACACCCAAAGTAAAAGGAGCCTGGAGGGAGGTGTGGCTCAAATGGTAGACTGCCTGATTTCAATTATGACGACTTCACTTTGTCAGTACAGTCCTTCCAAAAAGTCATGAAAAATGCTAGTTTAGAATTAGGCGAGGCTTGCTAATTTTTACTCTGCTCATCCTTGCTTCTGAATCTAAATTGTGTAGGTCCAATTACTTTTCTTCCCTATGTTTCTCCTTTCGTGAGTTGTCTAAAGTATCTTCATTTTACTCTATGCTTCAGAGACACAAAAGCTGGCAGATACAGATGAACAAAAACCATTATTTTCAGCACTTTAGAGACACGAATAATGTTTTGCTCTTTTGGGAGAAGTTTAGAGTTTATCAGTCCTATTGTAGATGCTAAAAGCATCATCTCTGTTTCTGTCAAAGAACTTTTCTTTGTATGTGAAGTTCTTGAAGCCTACTGAAGACTTACTGCATTTTCTCAATTTATGGATGTCTTTAGTTAATCGGGAACAACTTCATTGGCATCTCTACCACTGTCTTTTCAGTCTCTTGTTAATCCATGGAAATGAAACTCATGTCACTTCCTGCCTCTTAAATGATCGACATTGTGTTTTCCATTCACTTTTGACACTGTTTCAGATAACTTCCCCAGATGTGCCCTCCGCTTTCCCAGTCCTCTCCTCTGTCTGTCACAGGCGGCTGGCTGGGCCCTGCTCTACCCATGTGGAAATGGGGGAAGGAGAGGGGAAGCTGCTGTGTTCTCTGGATGCTGGATGGGGTTTGCGAGCAGTAGCAGTGGCGACGGCAGGCAGCTGCCGTGGCGCAAGGAGTTTGCAGAGTTAGGGTTTTGGCACAGGGGCCTGGGCACAGGGCAGGGAGGCCACAGCGTGAAGGGTTACTACTCTTAGTTAGCGGCCAGGCCAGGACCTGTGGCTGGAGGGGTCTCTCTGGCCACTGATCCTCTCTCTGGCTGCTGCCACGGTCCCAGGAGGCGCCGCGGCCTCTGCTCGGCCAGCTTCTCCTGTCAGCTGCCCTCTTGCTGCTCGGCCTGCCCCGCACGGCTGCTGCAGCCCGGGCAGCCCCGGGCCTGGCTGCTCACTGGCAACCAGATGCCACCTCTGCTGTTGGCTGTCAACTAGCATGGCGATTGTTCTCTGGCCCTGCTGCTTCCCTGCTGGCTCAGGAGGCCCCTCCACTGTCAGCTGTTGTCTTCTTTGCTTCATGTCGCCAGCTCAGCCACTCTGCTAGTGATGATCACCACAAGTAGGCAGGGAAGAGCACTGGAGAAACCTCTGTTAATCCTGGGGCTGAAGCGCTAAGGGGCCCTCCCAGGAGAGTCTCAAGCTGCTCCCACCCAAACTAAGCTGAGCTGCCTGCTTATATAGCTACAAGGGGGCTGTGACAAGGAGGTCTGCACCAATCAGAGGATGCCTTATTTGCATGAGGGATTGTGCTTGGACCAATCACAGGTCCTCTGCAGGGCCAGCTGCAGGAGAAAAGAAGTGCTTGCCCTCAGGCCTGGGTGGAGGCTGAAGCTGTGGTGGCCAAAGGGTGGAGCTTCCTGCAGCTGCAGTTGGGAGTTCCAAGAGGCTGCTGCCACCAGGCCCCTGTGGCTTCCATTTACAACTCGAGCTCCTCACAGGCTGAGGCCTGAGCCTCACTGCTCAAGCTAGCTCAGGCAGGCAAATCTCAGTGTCAACCAGCCCAAAGCTACAACTGGAGGCATGGCTCAAGCAGTAGAGGGCCAACCGTGAGTGAAAAAGCCAGGGGAAACTCAAGACCGAGTGCGCGCGCGCGCGCACACACACACACGCACGCACACACGCACACACCGCAAACCCGTGCACATGCACACACAAGTGGTTGGTGGTGGCATGAAGGCCATTTGGATGTCTGGCTGGCAGTCCTTTGCTCAAGGCAGGCAGGCCGCTGGGCAGCACTGTAGAAGGAGCCAACCCATCATCCCACCTTCAATACCTCAGCACATTTACAAGAAAAAGACACACTCAAAAGAGCGCTCAGGACAGTGGTTTATCAGCCACACTGCCTCAACAATATGGAACAGTGCTCTAACACCGCTTGGCTGTCTGGAGGCCCCAGTGGGAGGAGGGTCCCTACCATCTCTTTCTTCTTCTGCAAACTGATGAGAGAGTGTGGAGCCTGCAGGATTACACTTTTCACTGAGACTAGAATTGTCAACTGTTCCCTGGAGGAGCAGGCAGTCAGGGATAGACCCAGAAGAGCCAACCGAGGCTGCCTTGAGACCACCAGCTTTATTTGGTCAGCAGGTTCTTCAAGATCCTGTAAAGGTGCACTAGCTTCGTTAGCCTGGGTCGCTGGCTACGTCAGGGCCCACCTGTTCCCCCCACGCCCGCTTCCCCATAGTAGACCACGTGGACACGTCTGCACGCTTCTGTTTCCACAAGCAGGGAAGAAGACGGTGTTACTGGCATGTGAGTGTAGAGAAGCCGCAGCTTCCACTAAATACCTTCCTTGGCTCCCTCTCCACCCCAAGGGATCCCACCCCAGAGGGTCCTCAGTGTCATGGCTGAGAAACCCTGCCCAGTCCCGCTGAGGAGAATGCCTTAGACCTCTAAGCTGGAAGTGTGCTTGCTTCCCATTGCGCAGTGCCAGCTCATCTGCAAACCTTTGTCAGCCTGGGGCGGGTTGTGTTTGTAGCCCTCCCCACCCCACCCCTCCCCACCCCCCACCCCCCACTTGTGCTTGCGGTCTCCCAGTACTTCCCCCCACTTTCAATCGCGGCTGCGTGTGAACACGTGAGTCTATGCGGATTTCATCCCTGCTGACACGTGCGATGGAAGAGATCACACCCTCTTACTCAACCTTATGAAGTCAGCAGTCTTCAGTAGCAAAAACCTTGGAGGAGGGAGGGACTCAGAGAGTAGGGACCCATGGCACTCGTGCACACGCGGAGATAGTTTGGTATTTTATTTTCAATGAGCATACATGTGCCAAAGCTGCACGTTCATGGAGGACGCTATGTCAACTGAGGGATGGCAGATTTTCCGACATAGTCGCCATCATCAGTTGGTCCTTTTAGGGCTTGAATTTAACCAGCGCCTGAGATATCTGGGCCATCTCTCTCAGGGCGCAAATCTCATAGATGAACATGGCTGCGGTCGAGACAGACAGGGTGACCGTGAAGATCCCCAGGGGGAGTACATAAGAGAAGTGCTTCAGATACAGCTCTTCTTTTTGAACGGGGAATGTGCTCATAAATTGGAAGGTGGTGTGGCCATAAAAATCGACAATATGATTCCAGAACACCGCAGTCAGCGTGCAAAAGCTGCTCAGCAGAAGAAACAATACAGAAATGTTATAGTGCGACCTCAAGAAATCGGGATACGGGGCCTTAATCCAGCTCACTAAGATGGCCTCCGTGCTGAAGATTAGGACTACCGATTTCATGAAGTTGGCTAGGAGGATGAGATCTCGTCCATACTGAATTTCGGGGGGGATGATCCAGCTTTGGTTGCCGCCGGTGTGCATGGTCACACCGATCAGAGAGTCGGTGCCGTTCACCTTCTGGTAGTAATAAACTTTCCAGAGCCCGATGAAAACGATCTGGACCTCCTTGGCATCAAATTCCCAGATTCGCCAATGTCGACTAATGGCTAAGATAATGCCCAGGGCCCAAGTGACGTACGTACAAACCAGGGCAGTTAACTCAAACCTTCCTTGCTTCATTTCTGAGACCCAGAACGTGAATTTGAGGACTCTTGAGGCCACACCAGGAACGCCATAGAAGAAAGGGGTAGAGGAGAAAGCAAGCGTGTGTCATGATGTAAGAATGGAACACGTACCTAGTGCTAACATGCCCATCTCTAGCCCATCCTGTGAGAAAGCCCCATGGAAGCATTCTGTGTGCTTCTGAGTTTCTACCTCGCTCAGGTCAGAGGACAGGAAGCCTTGAAATCCAAGACTGTGGCAGGAGTATGCATTGAGACGTGCATGCTAGGCAGGTGCCGAACACCCACAGCAGCACAGAAAATGGTTTTGTTGTTGGACAAGATGTTTCAGAAGTTGAAATGTGCATACATCTTGTCCAAGAACAGAAAGAAAGAGAGAAAGAGAAAGAAAGAAACTGAAAGATGTTTCAGAAGTTGAAATGTCCATATGTCTTGTCCAAGAACAAAAAGAAAGGAAGAAAGGAAGAAAGAAACTGAAAGATGTTTCAGAAGTTGAAATGTCCATATATCTTGTCCAAGAACAAAAAGAAGGAAAGAAAGATAAGGAAAGAAACTGAAAGATGTTTCAGAAGTTGAAATGTCCATACGTCTTGTCCAAGAACAAAAAGAAAGGAAGAAAGAAAGAAACTGAAAGATGTTTCAGAAGTTGAAATGTCCATAGTCTTGTCCAAGAACAAAAAGAAGGAAAGAAAGAAAGACATAAGAGATGGAAAGAAGGAAGGAAGGAAGGAAGGAAGGAAGGAAGTACAGAAATAAAGGAAGAAAGAACCTTTCGCCACATTTGCAATAGTCCATAGAAGTTATTGTTTAAAATTACCTGTACATTTTCCGTACGTAGTCGCACATTTTCGAATCAGATGTTCATCAGTGTTGTTCGAGGAAGTATTTTTAGCAGGAAGGGAGAAATGGCTAATTGTCCTGAAAACAGACACAGAGATGAGTCACTTGAAAGGAATATCGTTAGGCAGACCTTGGGGCCAGAAGAAAACCTCACAAATCCTGCCTTTCACCAAATAGTCATTGAATTCTTATCATATGCCCTGTGTGAATCAAGCCCTACTGTGACTCCTCCAGGAAAGTGAATGTGCCCAGTTGTCACGACGATCTATAACACAGCGACGATGAGCCCCAGGTGGCAGAAGAGGAAAGAGCGTGCAGAAGCTAAATGCCACACTCAGCTCAGTAAGTCACACAGAAGCAAAGGGCAATGCAGGCCCGGGAGCATGGGTGGGCCCCGTGCCTTTGGCTCTCTCGGTATTGGTTGGCTTTATTCACATCAAGAGAGGCTCAACAAATAGGCAAGCCCCATGTCCATTATGACGTCACCTCCGTTGTACAGGAAGGAAGGTGCTGCTAGGTGCTGGGTACTCAGCCTGTCATCCAGCCACTTAGGAGGTGGACATCTGAGGCTCACAGTGTGAAGCCAGCCCAGGCAAGAACAGCCATGAAGCTCTGATCTCCACTTAACTACCAAATGCTAGCCTAGAGCACCAAGCTATGCGACTACGCTCTAGACCCTGCCTTCCAGTCCCAGTACTAGGACGGATGGACGGACGGACACACACAGCACAGAATCACAGACACACACACACACATACACACCGCAGAATGACACACACACACACACACAACACACACACAACACAGAATCACACACACACCACAGAATCACACACACACACACCACAGAATGACACACACACACACCACAGAATGACACACACACATACACAACACAGAATCACACACACACACCACAGAATGACACACACACACACCACAGAATGACACACACACATACACAACACAGAATCACACACACACCACAGAATGACACACACACACAACACAGAATGACACACACACACACACCTCACAGAATCACACACATACACACATCACAAAATGACACACACACACCACAGAATGACACACACACACACCACAGAATGACACACACACCACAGAATGACACACACACACACCACAGAATGACACACACACACCACAGAATGACACACACACACCACAGAATGACATACACACACACACACCACAGAATGATACACACACACATACACAACACAGAATCACACAAACACCACAGAATGACATACACACACACACACCACAGAATGATACACACACCACAGAATGACACACACACACACACCACAGAATCACACACACACACACCACAGAATCACACACATACACAACACAGAATCACACAAACACCACAGAATGACACACACACAACACAGAATGACACACACACACACACCACAGAATCACACACACACACACCACAGAATGACACACACACACACACACCACAGAATGACACACACACCCCACAGAATGACACACACACATACACACACACAGAATGAAAGGGCGCAATGGCAGAAATAAAGGACTAGCCTTTCTGTGTCTTCGTCTTACCTCAAGTAAGGAGCTTTCAAAGGATGATCCTTTTATCTAAAAAGAAAAAGCACAAACGTTAGAGGAAAGGGAAGGGGTTAAAAGGCTTTCACACTGCCAGTGGGAACAGAAAAGGAGTGCAGGCCTGGGGAGAATGGACAGCGGTTCCTGAAACACGTAGAATGACTCTTCCATCCAGAAGCTCTACTTGAACCCCAAGGAAGTCCAACCAGGGTCTGGGACAGAGAGGGTCCTGGCATTTCTCAGCCCCACCACAGGGTGTGGGGAGTCTCCTGTGCGGAGATGGGAGAAAGGCTTCTAGATGGACTTCAGCAGCTTGCTGGCCACTTGCAGCGGCTAAGCTGGTGTACCTGAGCTCAGCTCCCCCACTGGACCAGGGTAAACCCATCCCCCTCCCTGTGCAAGGCGGGCAGCTGACAAGCGCGAAGCTGTGTTAGAGGTGGGCAAGGAAGGACACCCCCGGGCTGGGTGTCTAAGTCCCAGGTCACCGCTGCCTGTCCGCAGACAGCCGCGATCACGCGCGTTTCCAGGCGAGGGAGGCAGGAAGGGAGGCGCGAGCTCACCTGCTACAGGAAGCGGCCGCTCGCGGGGAGTGACGCGCAGATGCCGCAGCGATGGCGCTGTGGCGGGGGGAGGCGAGCCGCTGGCGAGAGGCGGGACGTGGACCAGCCCCTCTCACACCTCCTCCCTGGCGGCCACCGCTGGCCTTCTGAAGCTGGCCCTGCCAGGCGGCCTGTCAGTGCCCCCCCTGCCCCGCCCTCCACTGTGAGCTCACACTGGGAGCCAGGCCCTGGTTGCCCTGGCGACGCTGGGCTGCTTTTCTGGCGGGTGTGGTGGGCTCTCTGCCTGCCTTTGGGGCGTGGCTGCTCAGCCATGGCCACTCAGCCCCTGCTCCCATCCCTCTGCCCATGCACCCCGCTCTGCCACCCCTTCCCTCCCCGCTGCCCGCTACCCCAAAGCCAGTGCCAACGCGCGGCATTGCAGGCGGCATTTTGTGGCAGGCCGAGTGCAGGTACAGGAGCAGGTGTGGGAGAAGGAGTGGCCGTTCCGTTCGGGGAGATGTAGGTGTGAGGCCCTGCCTTCGCGCCTCTAGGGAAGACAGCGTTTAATTGCTGCGAAATGAGCTCCTGCGTCGGGCCTGCAATGGCAGGCCTGCGGGAGCAGCGGGCGCGGGGCCAGCGCAAGCCGAGTAGGAAAGCTGCTAGCGCGTGAGGCCAGGAGAGCTTCGAGAGCAGCGGGTGCAAGCCCGACATGCCAGACGCAACAGCGCTGCAGCCCCTACAGCGTCCCAGCCAGCGGCAGATAAACGCGAGCAGTCATTCGCGCTCCCGTGCGTGGCGCGTGCCTGTCAGGCCAGCTACTCGGGGCTGACATGTGACGGTTATGGTTTCAAAGCCAGCCTGGCCAGGCAAGTCCGTGAGACTCACAATCCATGGACTGCCCAAACTGCCCCCCATAAACAAAAACGAAAAGTGGTCAAAATGGAGGTGTGGTTCAGGGGGTAGAGGGCTGGCTTTGAGCCAAACAATGTAAGAGACAGTAACCAGGCCCCGAGTTCAAGCCTCAAAACTGGCACCAAAACAAAGAACCAAACAAAAACCCTAAAAACAAAACTAAAAAGACCCCAGACTCCTTTGACGGCTTCATTTGCGTAACACAGAATTTCTCCTAAGCAAATGATCAGAGATATGTAGCAACATTTAAGTGCAAAGTACACCCAAGGAGGCTGAGAGAAATGGGGAAAATCCTCAAAATACATTCAGAAAGTATTTTCAAAACATATCCTATATTGTTTTGTTTTGTTTTTTTGTTAGTTGTGGGGCTTGAACTCTGGGCCTGGGCGCCGTCCCTCAGCTCTTCAGCTCAAGGCGAGCGCTCTACCTCTTGAGCCACAGCATCACTTCCTCTTTTCTGGTGGTTCATCGGAGGTAAGAGTCTCACAGATTTCCTTGCCCAGGGCGGCTTTGAACTGTGATCCTCAGCTCTCAGCCTCCTGAGTAGCTAGGATGACAGGCGTGAGCCACAGGCTCCTGGCTCCTGTATCCTTCTAATAGGATATTACAAAGCGAGTCAGCATCATGTGTAAGCATTTGGGAAACGTTTCAGTGTTGCCTAGAGGACGCACAGATTTCAAAGTGCATCATTTGTATAATTCTGTTTCTTAGTTTTCAAAAAGAAAAATGAGATGGAGAGGTTGAACGTGTGAGAGGTAGTAGACCAAGGCAAGCCAAGGATGGAGAGAAGGAAGGAATGGAAAGGGCGTGGGAGGGAGGGAAGCAGGCAATAAAAATAGGATGAGGGAGGAAGAAGAAGAAAGATGGAGGAAAGATAAGAAAGGAAAGCAGAAAGAGAGGTAGGGAAAGCAGAAGGGAAGGAGGACAGAGAGGGACACAGAGGAACGTGAAAAGGATCAGGGTAGGAGTGGGAAGGACAGATGAAGGGAGGAGGAGGGAGGCTGGGAAGAAAGGAAGGAGGAATGGAGGTGGTGAGGGAGGAGGGCAAAGGGGGGAGGCTGAGAGGAAAGGAGAGAGCAGAGGAGAAACATGATGGAGAAGCAGGGAAGGGGTTGGACAGCGAGGGAGGGAGGAGGGAGAGAGGGAGGCGGGGGAGAGCGACCGTGTCGCCTTTCGTTGCACACGGCCTTGGCCTGTGCAGGGGAGAATCCTGACATGGGCAACCGGCCCGTGCTTACCTCGCGTGGACGCAGCGGGTCCCACGTGGCGTGTGATGGAGCCGGGGAGAGGCATGGAGCAGGCAGCGCAGTCCTCTGGCACGTGGGGTCAGTGAAGGCTGGCATGTGGCGGGAAGGCTGGGTGTGTGGCGTGAAGGCTGGGTGTGTGGCGTGAAGGCTGGCATGTGGTGGGAAGGCTGGCATGTGGTGGGAAGGCTGGGCATGTGGTGGGAAGGCTGGCATGTGGCGTGAAGGCTGGCATGTGGCGTGAAGGCTGGCATGTGGCGTGAAGGCTGGCATGTGGTGTGAAGGCTGGCATGTGGTGTGAAGGCCCTGCAGGGCAGAACAGAGGCAGCGACTTAGCTGGGAGCACCTTGTACGACGCGCAGATCGCTGCCATGGGCGCCTCGTGCCCGCCAGCATCAATAAAGCGCAGACACACACCCAGACAGACAGACAGACAGACAGGGGAGAAAGGAGAGTGGAGTGAGCGAGGAAGGAGAAAGAAGACAGTGGAGTGAGAGAAAGGAGAAAGAGAAGGCAGAAGGAAGACGAGGGGGAGGAGCAGGAGGAGGAAGAGGAGGAAGAGGAGGAGGACAAAGAGGAGGAGGAAGAGGAGGATAAGAGATGGTGGAGGAGGTGAGGAAGAAAGGAGGAGAAGCGGAGGAAGAGGAGGAGGAGGAGGAAGAGGAGAGGAGGAGAGGAGGAGGAGGAGGAGCAGGAGGAGTTG